AGACTGCTTCTTTTGACTCTCATTAAAGGTGTTTTTCTTTTGATTGTTATTTTTTTAGTTACCTTAGAAAAATGTCGAAAGCAGGTTTCCCCTCTGATAAATACAGCAGGAGACACACGCGGCTATAGAGAGTAACAGGTTTTCGGTGGGTTATTGTTGCAATCGCCTTTCACTTCACGTTGAAATGAAGCCCTTGTTCCCAACTGTGTGTGGCTTTGCTAAGTTTAAACATGCAGACCCCGGTAATTTCTTTTCTCTTCTGGCCCGTATTTGTGCAGTTAAGCTTCCCAGTGCCGCTGGCTCTGTTTAGTTATGCTTGTGATTAAGTGCTACGTTCCTTACCATTCCCCTGCGCGATTTGAGTTCTTTACTGAAGATAAGGAGATCTTTTTTACTGTGCTTTTCTGTCTGTTGTACTTTATTGTCTGCTTCCCTCCCTGCGTGTCCTCCCTGGCTAAACACGGGACGATGAGAGAAGGAACCTGCCCGGTGCTGGCGGGGGGAGAAGACTGGGTTTGAGGCGTGGGAGCAGGGGTGGACTGGGCAGAGGGAAACAGGCAGGACTCGCTGGGACCCCGGCGTCCAGGGAGAGACTAAAATTGGCTAAGAAAACAAAGACAGAAAGCGGCTGCTCAAGGGCCCTGGGATTTATAACCATTTAAACAAGGGCAACAGGGGCAGTGGTGGGAAGGAGCGCTGGTGGAGGGGTCAGGCTGCAGGGAGGGAAGAACGGGCGAGGAAATTAAGTCAAGAAGTAGGAGAGCAAAGGAGTATCCTGGGTCTGGGTGATGGTCGGGTAAGGCCCAGGAGTCGCTGAGGAGATGTGCGTGGGCCAAAAAAAATTGAGGAAGGAAGTACATTAGGCTAGTAGCTAGGAAGAGAAGGTGGATTGAGGTGCGGGTAGGCAAGGAGACCAAAGCTGGAAGCTGCTATAGAAAGGGGAGCAAAATCTTAAAGCCGTGAGCCTGAGATTTGCTGGGTGAAGGGCTTGGGGTTAAGAACAGAAGCTTGTTATGCAGCACAGGTGAGCAATGTGGGCAGAAATGGGGCTGGGAGAGCGAATAAAGGATAGAGCAGGGCCCATTACAAAGTCAAAGCAACCTTTCAGCCAGAATCGGGGTCAGAAATTAAAATCCTGATTCTTACCTTTGTGCTTGGCCGCTGCCTTGCCACGCATCCTTTTCTTGCGCTCTTGCACCAACCTGTGTAGAGGGACTTAAAAGCATAGGGCAACAGTAAGTTTTATTAGTTCGAGTGGTCCATATAGTGCACGCAAAAGTTCAGCTGTTCGATGTAGCTTTTTTAATTCACTTCTTAAATTTAGGAAATTAAACATGCTAAATAATTAAGTCATGGCACGTTATTAAGGCTGTCTCAAGACTGAATTAGTGCTCTTGCATATTAATTATATTACAGCTGTTAACTGCGTGTTCTGGTATTTGTGTTTGGTTTTGCATTTTCACATTTGAACGCACAGAATAACAGGGTGACTTTTAGGAATCAAAATGTTTATTCATTCACTGTCAAGCTGTCTTTAGGTACCTTGGGTATCCCTTCTTTATCAGCTTGTGAGAGCATCAAACGGCTGGTTATCTGTTTTAAAAAAGCTATTTCACCCAATAATCATATTGTCTAGTGCAAAACTTGCATCAGATTTTCTTAGTGGAAACAATTAGTCTGATATTCCAGAAATGATATAATACTGTGTGATAATGGAGTAGTTTCTTCTCCTCATGCAGCTTTAGGACTGGGAAATCGCTTACAGCGGGCTGCTGTTAATACACTGGTTGTTGTGGGGTTTCTGTTTTCCCTTTTTTGCTTTAGTTTAAAGGAACGATCTTTTTAAGCCCACTGGCATTAACATACAGACTATAGCAGAAATGGAAGACATCGTGCAGTCACCGCAGGGGAGAAGTTAGGTAGTTATTTGGAGCCGGTGCTCCCCGGCCATCGCTGTAATGCCGATGAGGTGTGCAGAAAGCCTGTCACATCCCACCGGCGCTTCGTTGCGACGGCGTGCCGAGAAACCGTAACCGGTGGCTGACAAGTGACTTCTGAACGTTGCCTTACAGAAATCAGGAATGGGAATCTAAAGGCCATCTTGGGCCTTTTCTTCAGTTTATCTCGATACAAGCAACAGCAACAGCAGCCACAGAAACAGCAACCACACCACCATCCGTCCCAGCAGCCTCCCCCAGCATCCCAGCAAGCAGGGCCTCCATCCCAGTGCCAGGTCGGGGTTCCGCAGCAGCAGGTGCCGGCTTCGCTTCAGACTCCGTGCCAACAGCCCCCGCAAGCTGCGCAGCACCAGCTCAAAGCACAACCAGAAATGCAGTCAAGGTGGGGAAATTTCCTTTTAGTTGGGTTTTTTTCCGTTGTTTATTTCTTTTTTTCTTCTTGTCGAAGGTCTTCAAAAGGCGAAGAGATTTCTTTCTTTAGTTCTACTCTAGAATGAAGAGCGTGTTGGAAATGAAGTGCTGGGTAGCAGTTGACTTCACACCTTTGGAAATCAAAACAGATGTGCTTAAATATGTTCTCAGTGCTGGAAATACGCAGTTCGATGGGTGTAAAATACCTTCTAGACCAAGTAACCAATGCATTTTATAAGGACGTGTTTTCTCAGTGTTCCTTTTGCTTCTTTTCTACTTGCAAAGCATGTGTGTCATTGCCATTACAGGATATATATTTTTGGGCATGTGAAAACCGACTTCAGTTCTCAGTTTACAAGAATTTCAGTCTTAAGAAGTGGAAGGCTCTGACAGCGGTAAAAGCAATAGAGCTCATCGTGGCTGGTGACAGTCAAAATCAAATCTCGGCTTACTGGTCAAAAATAATAAGCTGCTGGTTTACGCAAGAAATAATTTTCACAGTTGGTGTTTGGCACTCCTAGATCAGAATACGGATAAGCAGAAGGGCTCTTTGTCCCTTGAGTGCCGTTAGTCCTGTGGGTGCTCTTTCCAGGTTAGCATAAAAGTCGTTTATGAACGCAGGACCACGGTGAATGCATGTACAGCCTTCCGCTTGTCTGAGCCTTCCACTGCAAGAGGGTGCGGGTTTCAGTGGGAATAAGTGGGCAAGATTCAAGGCTGAACCGTATTTGCACAATTAGTAAAGTGTGAAGGCTTGGATTTTTTTAATCTCAAATTAAGTTGAAGCTTATTTGTGTTACAATAACACATATTAAAGTGAACACCAGCCTAAGTGCTGCTTTGAGGGATATAAAGAGTTTAAATGAGGCTTTACAAGTGAGACTACTCAGAGCGTATTTGGTTTTTACTTATGTCTTCATGAATCATGCTCATCTTGCGTGGAAACAACGTTTCTGTATAATTGAGAAATACGGTGTTGCTACAGCGTGTATAAACTCGTACAGGAAATAATTACTGTAAAACAAAGACTCACTTGAACATATTTCTCTGACTTTTCTGTCAAAAAAATGCAGAGATGCTTGGGACCATTTGAATATTGCTTTGATATTTTCAGTCCATTGTGTCGATTGTGCTGGGTTTCAAATGATTTAAAAATACCTAACCTGAAGGTAGGTATTAAATGTCACGTTTTCTTAGTGTATACTAAAGTGAAATTGCTCAGATTCTGCAGAAAAATACATACAGTTAAAGATTGAGAAAGAAAAGAATAATAAGGTTGGGGTTTGCATGCCGAACTGCATGTTCGTTATTCTATAAAAATTAATTCGTTTACGATTTTAGGAGTTTTGACGTACAGTTATACTTAGGCAAGAAGCTTTTTTTTCCTGTGAAATTCATAAAAACTCTTTTCTCCCTGAAACTAGTTACTAAGTTCAGTGGCTTAAAACAAACAAACAGGTTTCTTTGTTCAATGTTATCTTCCGCTTTTTCTTTCCTGTCATACAGTGCATCTCCCAGGGACTCATCTCAAAGCAAAATCATCCGATTCACTCTTGGTCAGAAAAAGTCTTCTAGGTTAGCATTTCTTCATCTTCTGCAAAGCATGAATAATCCTTTTGCGATATTTCTGGATGCATGTTTAGGGTTCCCGTTCCTCCTTGTTTGTAACCAGGCTTTTTACAAACAGCCAAAATACGGAAGTTAGGTGAATTTTAATTTTTTTTTTCTTTTTTTCAAGGTGTGGAATGTGTTTTGTCCCGCAAGAAAATAATCTGGTTTTCTTGTCCTTTTGAGCTTTTGCTTTTGAGAACAAAACATGGTTCTGGGAGTTCTCTCCCCGCTGTGCACATCTGTATTAGTTGTATTTAGATCTGCGTTATTGAAACTAGCATCAGGCTATAGTGTCTTAGCTAGTAAGGAGAGCATCACGTGCGCGACGCGAGCCCGCGCAGCACCCTGCGGGTCTGTCTCATCAGAGCTCCCGCGCTCCCCGTGCTCTGAAGCTGAGCACGTCTAATCTTCCTGGAAATTGTTAATAGGTATTTCAGTCAAATTTTTTTCCCGAATCCCAGCATGACTTGCATGCCAGCTCGTATGACCATCTCATCTCAGAGATTGTAAGGGTTGCTGTGTTATTCAAGTGGTTATTAATCATGTTTACTTTTACTACTATTATATATCCAAATGTTTTACTAGGAATTTTTATATTGTTATACATTGGTAAACTATACTATAGCGTTTTTGCTAAGCTTCTGAACTGTTACTTATGATTTTTATTCAGCTTGGCAAGTTTGTATAGGTTGTTAGTTCTACTGTATAATTTGGATTTTTTTCCCCTACCTGCTTTCTTTTATGACAACAGTGAAGGTCTGCAGTACAACCCATGTCAAAATGCCCCGTGTTCCCTTTTCATGTTCTCTCTTGGGCATAACTGTGGCTTGACAGTTCGTGTTTGCCCAGAAGAGGTGCTGAAGTGCAGTAATGGAGAGTCTTCTCTGAGCTCAGTGCCTTGTCTCTAACACAAGAAGCTGGGAACGTCTCCCTGAATCTGTTTTTTTCCCCTAGATTTCACAGGCACTGCTGTGAAATAGCTTGGCCTAATACCAAAAGCAGGGGCTTAAAATCAGTCAGTTAAACTACAGGGCAGGGAAAAAGAAAAATCTAAGAGAAATGATCTTCTTCAAGAGTGTTTTTAGCACGTATGTTTTTTATTCTCTGTATGTTTTTATTGGCGGTGACAATACCGACTTGAATCGAAAACTTGTCACTTCTTGAGTGATCACATGGTTTGAGTAGCTTTATTTACTTTAAAATGTGACAGCTTTGCAAATCTGCCTGGGCATGTGTGGGGAACCTTTTCTTACCCATCGGCACAAGAACATTATCCGTCCCCTCCTGCCAAGCCCTGCTAGAAAACTCCGCTCCCGGTCCTGGGGGCTCTAGTAACCTTCCTGCAGTGCTTGGCCCGTGCTGGCAATGTTTTATCACTGGGCAGGAACTTTCAGCTGAGGTATCTTGTGTGTCCTTCCTACCTGTAGGAAACCTAGCTTGTTCTCCTATTAAGCAAAACAAACTCTTAATGAACTTTCTTGTCTTGGTGACTTCAAAGACAGAGTTTGTCCCTGCTTTGCCTCCGCTTCTTCCCGTGTAGTCTCCTCTGCAGTGGATGAAGCATCTCTGGGGTGTTCCCATTTACACCTTGCCACAATGATGACTATGTGCAACCTTCTGGCACCCCCCAGGGTTGAAAAAGGCTGGATAAATTGAGGGGCTCGCCTAAAAGGCTTCAGCAAAGTCAACCTCAGAACCATGATGTGCTGTGCCAGATCTGTCGTGGTTTGAGTTTGTAAATTAATTTTCGGTTTTGTATTTGAATGATGCTTTTACACCTTATCCTCTGTTGAGCTTTGAAAGCATGTGCATGCAGCCGCTGACATTTTTGCTCTTTTCCTTCATGTTTCTTTTCATATTTCCTATTTCTTTGGGGGTCTTGGAGAAGCCAGTTTATTTAAGAAGCACTGCCAGACTCCTTCCTGGCTTCTCTTCCTTCCCGTAGGCATAACAGTGATTTGGTTGGTTGCATCCTGGGATGACAACGGGGACTTCTTTATTTTACCCTATTATTGGCACAAGTTTTTTAAGTAAATTAGATTTTTGTGTTTTATATAAAGAAGTTTCCAAGAGATTCTAACACACAGAAAATACAAAGATGGCAAAGAGTCGTCCCTCTCAGTGCTCCTGTAGGTGACATGAACTGGTTTTGTCTTTTAGCCTTTAATGGGATGTCCTTGCTCTTTACAACAGCTGTTGCGCTAACTCTTCAGTGCATTTTGAGCAGCTACCAAATCTTGCGATTTTTAGTATTTCATCTATTTGGAATGTGAGTATATGTGCTCTTTTGTGCCCAAAATACAGTACAAACATGGCAACATTACGTATAGACTTTGACTTCGAAGGGCTCGGACACACATATTGTTCTGAGATGTGATGCCTGTGGCTTTCCTAATTCTGACAGAAAAGTCTTCCCCCTCCCCTTTTGCCTGGAGAGCATGAAAGTAGTATCCCTCCCTATCTACTTACTCCAGACTCCTAACTATTTTTTTTTTTCTCAGTAAATAGCTAAATCTTGCAAATACTGGCCACGGCAAGGAAATGCTGGATGAGATTGACCCAGTTTACAGCAGAGGCTTATACCAGCTCACTGATAATGTAGTTGCCTTAAGAGAGGAACTTAAGCTTTGTGTGATTTTTTTTTTTTTTTTTAATAGGCTCAAATAGTTAAACCAAGTACAAGTTTTGCTGGGCTTGGCTGCTAGGCGTTGTGGCTTTCAGAGCAGAGACGTGATGTCCTTCTCTACGAGGGAAAAGGCAGCCATGTTCTGTCTCATTGTTATTTCCGAAATAAGGGTAGGCTCTTATGTGCCCAGCATGTAATATAAGTGTCCAGCAAGCTGGTTTAAGAACAGTAGCGTCTCACTTAGTCTTGACCTTGTAGCGGGGGTATTGCTCCACTGAATTTACTTGCAACTAGTTGTGATTCACGAGATTTATGGCGAGTGACCATTAATTTCAGTTCAGGGTGGGGGTTTTTTCTGATGTAAAGCAACTCAGCCTGTAGCTCATTTGCCATATATTTTTCATCTGGGATGATTTTTTGATTTGTTCTTATAAAAGAACCCAGACTCTTTCTGAGTATGTATTTATGGTACTGATCCTTTTCTTTTCAGCTTATGCATGGTATTCCATACTTTCTTTCCCACAGTATATATTTCATATATTTAATCATATTGTAATTCTTTCATCAGACTTCCAGGCCCCACCACGAGGGTGTCCACTGCAGGCAGTGAGGCCAAAGCTCGTGGTTCTATTAGTGCCAACAATCGACGCAGCCAGAGCTTTAACAATTACGACAAATCTAAGCCTGGGATTCCCCCTCCAACGCCAACAGGCAGCAATGACAAAGGTAAGCACCTGAGATTTTTGACATTTTTCTTAACAGTGGCTTCATTTGGGGGAAATTGAATTTTCCAGTAAGCTCCAGAAGTTGTAAAGACTATGTCAAAGCTGTATGTTGTAAACATGACATTTACAATCAAAAAATCAGCTGGCTTTTCTTGAAAAAGGCATAATCCTTCTTTACTGTAACGGAAGTTGGGAGTTACTGTCCTGAAGGTACTTCCAAAAACTAGCTTCAAGAAAAACTGGCACTGATGAAACATGTTTTTTCATTTTGCTTCAAGCACAGATAAGGGAGAGTGAATTAATCAAAGTGTAAGACATTTTGATAAGTAGTTTGACAGGAATGGAAAATGACCGCTAAAGATTTCTTCAAATTTTTTGTTATGGTAAATAGTACCATTTGCTTTTGTTTTCTCCACTGTTGTGGAAGATCCTTTAAGTTACAAAAGTACATGATTTAAATCTAATTTTAAGAATCGCATAGTGTAGGGTTTGAAGGCAGGAACATGTTACAGTTTTATAAATGTTGCAGTGAAATTCTGTCTGTGGCAGTGCATCAGAAATGCTAAGCACCCTGTTCTGTCTGAAGAGCTGCTCTTTTCAATGACTTTCACTGACTTCATGTCCGTTCACTAAGCCGGTGATCCGACCGCATTACTTAGCTTGAGCTTGTAGCTCTGAGCTCTATAACGCAGCATTTACCAGCCAAGTTTTGGGGGATGTGGCGGTGAGAACTGGGCAGATCACTCTAGTCTGATACAGTCAGATTGCTGGCGTGGGCTGGCAGCTAATTCTGTATCCTTAGCAAAGTCATTGCGCTTACGGAGGTGGGTCGGCATTGGATTTCAGTACGATCTGCGCGCAGTGACTTGGCAGACTTCAGGCTCAAGTCTCCTTGTTGTCCATGCATAACTTCTGTCAACAGCAATGAGGATTTTCCTTGAGGGAAAAATACTGGTCTGGTTCAACTTGCCTGTGGTTCTCATGCTTGTTTCTCTTCAGGAAATTGTGTTTTTCCTTCTCTAGAAACTGTTGTCCTATGTCTGCATGTCATTAGATTTTGGAACAGTACTCCCATCTAGCCATTACAGCCCAAAACCTCATCTTGTGATGATGGCAATAGAGGGTCCTCAGCATCCTCCAGGGGCAGTCTGAATCACCCTGATCAGAGCTTGCGGAAGAAGAAAATTACATTCACAGCTGAATAATGTAATTATTATAATTACATTATAATATATAAGCGTAATATGCTAATAAATTAGCAACATGCTACCTTGGTAAATCCCTGCTTACTATTTTAGAAGGTACACCGTGTAAACAGTAATGATTTAACCGTAACATCAGCATGTAATAGCCATCTCTCAATCTGAATTAGATCTGGCTTTCAGTTAAGAGGACAAGCTGACAAGTTACAGCAAGAGCGGTAGAACCTATGAAACCGTGTTTTCCTGTGTAATCCCTCCCCAGTCTCCCTCTGTCTTCTCCTCGCCAATACTCTCCCCTTTTGCTCATGTCCCCTAACTCCTGGACTGGGGAGACGCAGTGTGGGATGTGACTCATCCTGACGTGGGTGTTGGTTGGCTGGATGATCCTTACCGGCGTACGGATGGTGTGCTGTTAGGCTGCATTGAGGAGAGAACTTCAACTGTCCTGGCTTTTTCTCAGTTACCAAGATTACTAAATAAGGGAAAAAAGAAGAACAGAAAAAAAAAAGCTCTTCACACATACAGAGATAAAACAATAATGTATCAACTGAGTAACTTCAATATCAACTGCTTTTAGGCAGGCAGCTCTATGAACCCTCATTCCTCATTGTAACCCACCTCTTCAGAAAGATAAACTAGTTGCTGAAGAAGAAGGCAAGATCATCTGCTTCCTATGAATGTAACAAATGACTGAAAGCAAAAAGGTTGGTGTTTAGGTTGACAGCCTACATGAGCTGCATGAAATACTCAGAATTTTGTTCCGGTCAAAATTTCCAGTCATAACTTATGGTCTTAAAAAAAAAAAAAAAAAAAAAGAGGGTTTACGAGTGTTGAACTTGAACTTTACTTAAAAATATAATCATGACACAAAGTTGGTCTGCATCCATGAGAAACAAAAGCAGTGGGTCTGACAAATTTTTGGCTTATTTTAAGTTAGTTGTAACGTTGCCAGACAAAGTTTATTGTCGAAGTGCTAAGACAATTCAAGTTTTCTTACCCGTATCCTGTATTTTGCCTAAGGAAATGAGACTTACATGACCGTGTTGTGTGCCGGTCTTGGTGAGTTTTCATCTCTTTACCCAGTACTAGCTCCGTTGTGTGTTTTTGGAGAAGGAAATGGGAGAAAGAGAAATCTACCTGTTTTGGCAGGCTGTTTTGGCACGAGTGGTCACTTTGTGATAGAAGGTGGCCTTCAGTGTATTACATTTGAATAATTTCTTACAAAGTAGATTGTAATTTTTAGGTTTTGTTAATCTGTGGCCTTTCCCTCCAAATGTGAATTGTCTTGTTAGTCAGTCGTCTGTGTCTTGTGGCAATGAAAGTGCATTAATTGAAACAGAATACATCAGAAACGAAAAGGGCAGTAAATGGAGCATGGAGGAATAGCTAGAAACTGGAAGATAAATAACCTAGATTTTTTGAAAGATTCCATAATGATGAGACCACTGGTTTCCTAGAAATCGTGGGGAAGGGATTTACATAACATCAAAAGCAATTACACTGTTGCAAAGAAATACGAGATTCTTGGATGCGTGCACATGTTTGTTGTGAGATGTCTACTTACTTTTAGCGAAGGGGCACGCAGGAAGAGATGCAAGTCTCACTTCCTACGGCTTACATTGTGTCTTCAGTATTTTATTTTGCTTTCTCAGTCTTCGCGTGCTGTCTGACATCGGTTTCAAGATGTGGAGAAGGGAGAAGTTTTCTCTAGTAAGGATGACTTAGGCATCTAGTTCAGTCCTATAGACGCCTTCTTTGAGGTTAAGGCATGACAGGTTTAACTTGCCTTTTGGAGTTAGCCCCATGGCTTATGTGAGAAGTTCCCATCAAACTTACAGGAGTGTAATGAGTGCCCTCATTTCTCACATCATAAAATGGTAACACGGTATGGTATGCTTTTTTATTTATTGTCACAGTGATTAGCCATTTATAATTGCAGTGGCATTCTAGGCAGGGTATTTTAATGTGTGTAATTGCTGTTACAGGCTTTTTTTCCTCAAGAAAAATGCAATTAAAGTCTAATTGCATTTTGGGATTGTGGGGAAATAACGAGCCACTCAGGCTTGTGATCTTTGATGTCGTCATAATCCCTTCATACAATTGGAGCCTTTTAATTCAATTCTGAATTGTCAGTTATTTACTCCATGCATATGTAAGTATACCCTTGGTTTACTTTCTTGTCCTTTAGTATCCTTTAACACCACAAGCGTACTATAGCATGAAAAGCTTCAGCCACCTCCCAGCGTCACTACTGAACTCATCGAAATTATCAAAAACATTTCTAGGGAATGTAAAGAGGCAAATAAGCTTTGCGTTTCTGTGCCTGTCCGTGAGTTCTTAGTTATTAGTTATCTTGAGGCTCCACGTTACTGTGTCCTTCTAATTGTCTAATATGATCACCAAAGAAAACATAGCCAAAATTTCATTTGTGTGCGTGATTTAGAATGGGGAAATCTATTTTTTTGTCCATGGCAAGAAGGAGCAGAACTGTGTCCTAGGTAGTGTCAGGAATGAAACTTAAATATTGAAGGGCACAACTTCAGTAAAGACTTTGATACAGTAGGTTTTCTCCTGAATTTTTTCCAGTTTTGCTTCGCTACACAGAGAGTCTTTTGAGACATGCTTTGAAAGCAGTCTGCAGTTCTGAAAAATGGTGGGGTTTTTTGACCCTCATATATCCCCTGTCTTCACTGATCTTCAGGCACTCCCTTTTCATTTTGCAGTCTCAAAAATCTGGTAAAATTATATGGGAATATTCTGATTATTATTTCCTGATTTGTATCCACCGTCTATAAAATCCCTAAGCTTAGGAAGCTATAGGAAACATCAACTTAATATGCCATCTCCAGTATGTTTATGAAGTGATACAGTAATGTGACAGGTTTACATGCTTTCTTTTTAGTTTTTTCCTCTACTTTGTTCCTAGTTTTTCATTTACAATAATCCTACAGAGGGCAGTAGAAGACTGTGGGAAAAATGATACTTTTCCTTGGAACGAACGTTAGGTAAAATGTCAGCAGAAAAAAGCACTACCAGACTTTGACCATTTCCACATGAGATCAAAGGAAATGGCTATTATTCAGATTTATGAAGAAGGCAGTGCCAGTCATGTCAGGTTTCTCTTAAATAGGTAATACTAGAAAAAAGGAATAAAAGGCGTACAGATTCATGCACTCAAATGAAATAAATGACTTTTAAGAGCAGTGTTGTTGCGAACTGACTTGATACGAGCCTCATGAGAGGGTTCTGAAACCAGATCGTGCTGACTCAGCTGTAATCTTAGCTCTGCGTGTCTCCATTTCCAGGTATGGAAATACTATACGGGCAGGAGAGTAAGAAAAGCCTGTGCTCCTCTGGTTGATGCTCCTTTTCTTTTATTTCTTCCAAATTTGGGGTAATCCCTTTTAACTTGGAATTCCGTATAGATTTAGTCCCTGTCTTTTAGTATGTAAAAGGTAGTCACTGTATTCACACGGGTGCATGGTGACAGGACAAGAGGCAACGGGCACAAGTTTCTTTAGGGGAATTTCTGTCTGGCAATAGGAATAAAATTCTTTGCTATGAGAAGAATTAAACACTGGAGAATTTTATCCAGAGAAGTGGTGGAATCTCCCTTTCTGGAGATATTCAAGCTTGCCTTGACAGAGCCCCGGATAACCTCACCTAAGGCCCTGCTTTCAACTGAAGGATGGAAGCAATGATCTCCAGAGGTTTCTTCCTAAACTGTTCCGTGATTTCTGCAATTTAAATATAAGGTTAGCTGCGTAGAGTGTGAAAAGTACACTGGACATTGACTGAA